TATTATATTATATTACATTACATTACATTACATTACATTATATTATATTATATTATATTATATTATATTATATTATATTATATTATATTATATTATATTATATTATATTATATTATATTATATTATATTATATTATATTATATTATATTATATTACATTACATTACATTACATTACATTATATTATATTATATTATATTATATTATATTATATTATATTATATTATATTATGCTATACTAAAACTATACTAAACTATGCTAAAGGATAGAGAAATGATACGGACAGAAAGCTAGAAAGATACTAATGAAAAACTCATGACTTCTTCCAGAGTCCTGACACAGCCTGACCGTGATTGGTCATTAAGCCAAAACAATTCACACATTGTTGGATAAACAACGTCCAACGACGCTTCAAAGCAACAAAACACAGGAGAAGCAAATCAGATAATTATTGTTTTCATTCTTCTCTGGGGCTTTTCAGCTTCCCAGGGGAAAATCATGGACAAAGAGATTTCCCACAAAATATGATGGTGACAGGTCTGTGTATTAGTATTTGTCTAGAACAACTCCCAAAGCTACAGAAAAGTCCACCTAGCAAGATATTAGGAAGTTCTAAGCTTAATAACGAAGCTCTGTGCATTGTATTTTAATGCTTACAAGCAGGTATTGTATTTGAAATAAACAAGCATTTTTTTAACCTGTTTTGAGGTACATGTGCTTATAGCGGTTGGACAGAACTACTGTAAATATTCTTTTGCTTTGTATGATTGGTCAAAAAACTCTTAAAGTGAGTTGTAACAATGAATTCTTCGGCTGCTGCCTGGGACGTGAGCTGCTGGCATCTTCCCATTGCCATGACGATGTAATGAGAGTGATGCTGGAAAATAAAGGAGCTCGAGACGTGTTCCTCAGCAGTCCCGTCCCGTTCGTGATTTTGTACAGAGATGTGGTAGTTTGTGGGGTCCCTGGACAGAGGAGGCATGATTGAATCTGACTCCATGTTCTTAGAAGGTGAAAATTAATATAATATAATATAATATAATATAATATAATATAATATAACATTATATTATATAATAGTCATATATAATAT